ACAGCTCAGAGTATCAAGACAAATTAGCTTTGGCCGCAAATTACACAAACAAAACGTGTCATAAAGTAAGATAATTTTGGTGATCGCAAACCAGCATTGTGGTTTCTTAAATGGGTAAACAAACTAAAGCTTGTATTACATCGGGTTACACACTGCTAAATGCAATAAGAATAGTTTCCTGACATGGAGAGTTGCTTGAGTCTCCTTTGCATCCACTGTTTTGGTTGTACGTTTCTCTGTTTCCGTGACGACCACGATAATGGCTGCAGAGAGACGACTTACACTTGCGACACAACACCTTAAACTTAACTTTTCCTATGAAGAGAAGTTCGTTTCCATGACCTTTAGTTTATTAGAACTGTTCTGCTTTCAATGATCAATTCTCAAATGTTGCAAATACTCAGCACAGTCGATTGGACAAATAGCGTTTAGATAAAGTGTTACTGTGCAAGGACAAAATTGTAAATTATTTGATTGAATGGCCTAAGGGCTGAAGTCGTGAAAGATGTTATAAAAATGACAGCGACTGTTGCCGCTGTATTAAAGTTAGTAAATTTATATTCTAGTCTCTAGTCTGAATGGTTTGTAGTTTATTTCCTGTTGTGCATTTTACTCAACACAAACATAAGAATCACAGTGGCACTGAAATAGCAACCTGTGTGTCGGAAACAAGGTCCTGAAATGTCTACTTATGTATGTCTGAAAAGCTCAGTTTAATACCGGCATACTGTGGCCACATCACACGCCAGCATTTAATCTCTCGGCGTGATAACCTGGAAGTCACGCGACACTTCCATTAAGGTGGTTTTTTCGAGACTTTTAGAACAAGGTGCGATTTTTCAGGCTTGGAACTGCACTGTTTTGAATGGCTGTGCAATTTTTTTAAGTTAACTCTCCACTGTACCTTTGGTTGTGTTTAAGTCATAAATTAAGGTTGCACTGTTCTGTTGCATAGCAACAAACGACCCACGTTTTGCCATCAATTACATCTATCTTAAAAACTAAGCCGGTGACCCCATACTTTTTTACAAAAATCTTTTTATTACACACAGAAGAAGAAACATGGAATATTAGAAAAAATTCTGCTGAGTAGATTTTGCTTAAATTTAAAAAAATGGGAATTTCAAGATTGGAAAAATTCACTCCACATGTTGTTTTAAATTTCGCACATGCATTCCGCTTTTGCTGTTGAAAATTTTTTTTGCATTAAAAAAGTAGGGTCACCGGATCTGTTTTTGAGATATTAGCTTCGTGGATAGGTAATATTTAGCACGCGTTCTACACACAAAATAAAATCTCGACTTTGCAAGATCGCACTTTGCGCACGCGTGAAGGCAGTCCGCCGCTCAGTAAAGTCCGCAATTCCACGCGAATAAACGTGAATACCCGCGAATAGTGCTTTCTTTTTGCTGTTGTCGTTAGCAGCATATGCGGTAGAAGAAGAGTTCCATAAATACTCGAAGGTGAGACGGGCCTAGTAAAAAGAACGAATAAAACTTGAAGAGTAGTTTTTTCCTGCTGTTTTTTAGATTGATAGCCTGCGCGATCGATCACCACATCAATCACAATTTTCGATTGCGTTCCAGCTCAGCGGTTTAAAAGAATATTTTTTCATTTCAAATTGCCTGAAGGATGGATGTTTTCGAAGATAAAAATAAGCGATATCGCAAACAGCTCACTAAATTAGGTGGAAACAAAGTTTTACGAAGTAGGCCTCAAGCCGCCANGTTGTCGTTAGCAGCATACGCGGTAGAAGAAGAGTCCCATAAATACTCGAAGGTGAGACGGGCCTAGTAAAAAGAACGAATAAAACTTGAAGAGTAGTTTTTTCCTGCTGTTTTTTAGATCGATAGCCGGCCCGATCGATCGCCACATCAATCACAATTTTCGATTACGTTCCAGCTCAGCGGTTTAAAAGAAAATTGCCTGAAGGATGGATGTTTTCGAAGATAAAAATAGGCGATATCGCAAACAGCTCACTAAATTAGGTGGAAACAAAGTTTTACGAAGTAGGCCTCAAGCCGCCACGTTTGTTGTGAGTTTTGCAAACTTGAAATCTCGCGCGCTTTCTCGCGACCCCTCGGGTGATCGCGTGATACCTAGCGTTGAAGTGCGCGTTAGAGCCCAGGCTTCTCACGGAAATATTACTGTTTAGGGCCACCGCAACAGGTCTTTCCTGGGGAACGGAAGTCACGCAATGATCGCAAAAATTTACAAGTACCAAACCCCTCACCCTACAACAACCCGAAGGAAAACAATAAAACAAAGGCAAACAACGCAGCGACCAATGTTCACCAATTAAGAAATGACACGCTAGCACTACGTCGGAACACGTGTTGTCAGCACGTACATGTACTGTATACCAGCTACATAGTCTCCACAACAATTAATCTCCACACCTGCGCTTTATCTGGAACCACAGCCAACAGGTAGGAGTTGGTGCACATTAGTGCTTAAAAAGTGCTGAATAATGCAGCCGACTGCACAATGCTAAGGATATATGCTTAAAGAACTGCATTGTATTTCTATTGCAGATGTGATATCAATGCGTCGCTCCTATGACATGTTTTCGCTTACCTTGCGGGCGTTTTTTATAGACAAACACTGAAAACAGCGAAAAAAATATAAAAAAAGCCTAAATAAATGCAACGTAGCTTACATCTGGCTGAGGTTCATTTAATTATAGCACAGAAGCAGAATATACTTATTTATAGCTTATCGATTTAAACTACATGTATAGAGACGCACCTTCCCATTCAATTAACTTCAACACTACAAATGAAAATCAAACGTCGAATTACAAACAGCAGCTGTATTTTTACAAATCAGAACCTCAAGATAATGCGCTGACTAGACTTAACTGCGGGGAAAGAACGCTGCTGACGGTACACATAACGGATTTTGCTGGGTAACTTGTCTTTTCTAAACAAAGAGAGTAGATTTCAACCCGCGCGTCACACCCAGTGAACGTTTTAACAAATATGTGTATTTCACTACCTTTTGCAGGAACTCACCAATGGACCGCGCACAGATGGATGAACAAGTAAGTATTATGCACAGTTAATACATGTACATGTTCAATAATTTCTATGTAATCGAAGGAATGTTAAAAGTTATGTTCAGTTAAAGATGCCTCCTGTATGTACATACACCATGTACCGAGTTCACTCTGCCACAAAACTTTGTTGCACAATCGCGATTCACAGAAAAAGCAACTTATTTCTTTGCTATTCATTGTTGTTCGTAATATGCTCTCACTTAATTTCTGTGCTGTTCATTGTTGTTTGTAACATCCTCTCACTTAAATCCCCAGCTCAAATCTCCTCCACGGTAAGGATCACTTTCCATGGCGTCTTTCCCCGAAACAAATGCTACACACCAGAAGCACTAACTTGACTTGTAATTACCTTAACGTACAATAATTTTATTACAATCTACCATGCAGACTCGGCCACTGATCCCAATCATTATAAAACTGATGAGTGTATTTGCAAACTACATACAACAAATTTCATTGTCTATTTACTGATTGCAAATACCATGTACTCAGCATTGAAACTTAACACAATGTTGTCATTTTTGTGTAATCTAATTCTAACGAGCTCTTACGTTTATGAGGGAAAATAAAGTTTTTTGGTTACTATGCCAAGGTAAACACTCGAATTGCATTTCTACGGCAAGACTACTAAGATGTATAAATATACGAGCACCAAAATTACGATAATGTAGGTATCTAAATTTCCCAGTCTCTAAAAAATCAGAAAAGGAAATGATATTTATTATAACAATTATTATTGAGTCAAGATACCCTTGTTTTGGGTAATTTTGTCACATCATTTTCATTGCAGCAATCGGCAAACAATGCTAGTGGGTGAGTAAATATCAGTTCTATTGTATAACCTGCATTTGAACAGCTTTCAACAAGCATTATGTTACGAGCTTTTTACCTGTCCCCTTTCACCATTCGAACGCTCACTCAGCTTAGTATTTGCTTCGGACAAAACATACCCAAGTGATATTTGAGTTTAACGGCCATTTAAACAATAAAGTAAAGTACCACCAGTAATTATTACTGTTGGCACTTTTCATAAATGTTTTCACAGAAATATAACACTGCCGGATAATAACTGTCAAACTCAAATACAATCAGGTCGTAAATATACATTTATATCACGTAAAAATGTACTTACAATTTATCATTCTGCATTATGTTCCCCTAGGTCCAACAGAGATCTCATGCCCATGTTGGAAATGATGTCTCAGTATCAAATGAGTAATCTGGAGGTGAAGAAGATATTTTTGTTGCTTAAAATACTTTATATTCTCTAATGGTATCAATAAATAAATTTTTGTGTTTTGGCTAGTTCTTTAAGCACCCATTCATTATACATGACTTGAATTGTAACAGCAGGGGAGCAGGGATAGCACTATGGTGAGAGCACTCGCCTCTCAGCAATGTGGTCCGGGTTCGATTATGGCCGGTTGCCATATGTGGGTTGAGTTTGTTGTTGGTTGTTGCCTTGCTCCGAGGGGTTTTCTCCAGGTTCTCCAGTTTTCCTCCCTCAACAAAAACCAACATCTCCAAATTCCAATTCGACCAGGATAGAAGACCCACATGAAAACCAGCTAAGGCTGATGTGGCTCCTCTCTAAATTTTGTAATTTATTTATTTATGACTGTAGTAATGAATGTCCAACTGAGTCTGTCGATTTCTTTCTTGTCTATTAGATACCCATAAACTCATGCTTTAATTATGTGCACTTAGATGGGTGGTTCTCATAACACATTGCTGTTTCTTCTGCTTTGTTAAACAATATCAGCAATATATCTAGTTAGAAACAGAAGCACCAATCACCCGACTCAGTACTGCCATGCTAACTTCCAGAACCATTCTATGTGCCTTACTCAAATTATTTCATTGCTGTTGACATTTTTGTTTTTGCGAATACCCAACCCAATAAACAAACTAAAAGTGACAAAGAAAATAAGTCACCTACATGTATTTATACATGATTTAAATAGGAGAAAAATAAACCATAGAATCATAGGTGTTCTGTTGTTTTTGCTGTTGCTGTTTTTTATCACTTCTGTATGCTTTACTTGTACAAATATTACTACTAGTAGTCTGTGTACATCTGCCACCTCCACTAAAAAAGAGTCTTCCACAATTATTTGCCATAAATTTAAATAGGGTGACAGGCCTAACGTGACTCCAGGCATACCAGACATTTTTTTTTTTTCACATTTGCTGTTTAAAATAAATTTCGGTTGTCTGACCTATTTAGCTTCATACTTGTCCTTTCAGGACAATAATACTGTGTTAGTAGAAATCTGAATGAGTTGTTGGTTAAGTCAGCCCTTCAACTGTGGTCCAGCAAGTGTTTAGAGATCATATGTCTGCAAGGTTTCTGCTGTTATACTAACCATAATGTAGCATCTAATACCTACGTAATTTGCCATATGTTTTCCTGCAATGGTAATTATATTTTAGCTCATTTCTCTTGCAAGTACTGTTTAACATTCTCTAAATGTGTGCTCTGAGCGGAAAAGGTCTAATAATTGGTGAAGATGTTAAGTACTAGAATTCTATACCATTTCCTGACTGCTTCAAAACTGTTAGAAGATGTTCTTGGTGTCTACAGAATTTGGACAAATTGATGATCGATTGATTAAGGGGAGCAAGGATGGCGCAGTGGTGAAAGCACTTGCCTCCCATCCATGTGGCCTGGGTTCAGTTTTGGTTGGGTGCCATATGTGGGTTGAGTTTCTCCAGTTTTCTTCCCACTACAAAAACCAACATCTCCAAATTCCAATTTGACCAGGATAGAGGGCCCACATGAAAACCAGCTAAGGCTGATTTATTGTAGCTTCCTCTCTAAATATTGTAATTTATTTATTTAAGTATTTATTTATTTTGTTAATTTATTTATTTATTTATTTTGGTTATTTATTTATTTATTTATTGCTAAACCAATTAAAACACAGAAAAATGACTTAAGTCATCCTTAAGTCATAACAATTACTAATTAGAGATCTTTCCCTACAGTCTAGGAAAACTTAACGATAATTAGCAACACCATAGACATATATATCATTCTACCCAATGATTTTAGGGGATGGTGCAGACATACACAGGCTACTTTTGTATTAGTCAAAGCTATTTATCATCCACTGTTGAAGTTATAAAAGGAAATAGTAGTCAACAGGTTTTTACTGCAAAATAAAAACATGATAGGGCATGTGCAGGGAAAGGTTTACTGAAACATGATATAAGAACATGCAAATTTACTTGTACATGATTTACTCTTCCAATATTATGTCATTTCATGGAGCCAAGATAAAAATTTCCATTTGCAAAAAGTCTTATTTTAGGCCTAACCAAACTCTAGAGTGCAGCCATTCAACATCCTCTAAGCTTTTAATTTCTTAAATTACTAAATACACAATCTCATTCCACTGGCATTAATATTACAGGTTCTAAATGAACGTCATGAAGATGAACTAAGGTGAGCTTTCTTTGTAGTTGGTTGTGGATGATGTTGACTTCTCTACAATATCCTTAATAAATTTTCTACTTTGCAAGTACAACACATAACCTGCAATTGTTTCAGCCAAGTACATGTACCTTACACTCACTAATGGTTAACACTTATTTACTTGGTTCCAGTGTCAATTCACATAAAACATGGGTCTCTGCACCGCTTATTTTTTAATCTATACACAGAAACATAATCCATCCATAACTGAGAGCAGTTACCCTCTATGTCATCTGATGAGTTTCAGAAATCCAATTTCACTCACCAGCTGTCACGCACACAAGGAAGTGACTTCAGTTACACAAAAATTCATCAACTGAAGATGGAAAACAGTACAGTGAAACTCTGCTCTATGGACACCTGCTTAATACAGACACCCGCTTATGACAGATAGTTATCTTTGATCCGACAACTAAAAAGCTCAAATATTTTCTCTTACATTGGCCCACTTAATACGGACACCCGGATAATGCCAACACTTTATCATGACCCTTTGATGTCCATATTAATGGGGTTCCACTGTACTGTTATCTGTGTGCCCTTGAAGCCATGAATTGAAGTCTACAACCTTTAATTTAACCACAATAATAATTTATGAGGTGATGGATATCTGAGATGAAATCCATACAGGCTACATACTTGCATTTAGACTATCCACACAACTAAAGGTACCTTATCAAGAGAACTAAGTTTCTAATTTTCAAAGCACCTGATGGGTTCTTTTAATTTGTATTATATCAAGCACCATTGCTCAAGTCTTTATAGAGATGCTGAAAATCCGGCAATTTTTAGAATTGAAGTGGGTGTTATCATCAGATGCGCATATGGTGAGTAAACTGCTCATGAAATGGAATCGCTGTGACCCTACATGTTATTCAGATGTCATTTTGATTTGCAGTTAACTGATAGTCACATGTCCCCAAAACACTGTCTTGTCTTGTTTACTCCCAACCAGTACTTACAACATGATATGTGACATACCAATTTACATAACCATTGATGACTGAAACAATAAGCATATAAAGCAAACAAAGAAATTAAAGAACTTTTCTTCAATTTCATAATGCACTACATCTATGCCATACTTTTTTCTTCTGAAAAAGGATTTACATTTACTGGTAATAAAATGCCTTTTTTTTTTCTTAACAGGTTCCTAAGGAACTGTAAGCAATGTATAAAGTATAAAAAGATGATAAAAAGTTGGTTTCTAAAGTATAGCAGAAAGAAGGGATTAATTTGTGTTTTGTAATGAACAAACTCAAGAAGAAAGTATTCACTGAGAAACATATAATATTTTATTATATAAAACAGTCTAGTGCACTCTTTTATTAACTACTGACTGGCAGAATTGAGACTATTGTTCTCTTATGGAATTGTGTGTATACGAATACATATCCATGTACACATGCATGTACGTACCCTTTATACAAGAGTAAGAAGTGGCTGTATTTTTATATCCGTTAGTATATATTTTAATTAGTACATATACATTATTTTGCATTTTTNAGTACCAAACCCCTCACCCTACAACAACCCGAAGGAAAACAATAAAACAAAGGCAAACAACGCAGCGACCAATGTTCACCAATTAAGAAATGACACGCTAGCACTACGTCGGAACACGTGTTGTCAGCACGTACATGTACTGTATACCAGCTACATAGTCTCCACAACAATTAATCTCCACACCTGCGCTTTATCTGGAACCACAGCCAACAGGTAGGAGTTGGTGCACATTAGTGCTTAAAAAGTGCTGAATAATGCAGCCGACTGCACAATGCTAAGGATATATGCTTAAAGAACTGCATTGTATTTCTATTGCAGATGTGATATCAATGCGTCGCTCCTATGACATGTTTTCGCTTACCTTGCGGGCGTTTTTTATAGACAAACACTGAAAACAGCGAAAAAAATATAAAAAAAGCCTAAATAAATGCAACGTAGCTTACATCTGGCTGAGGTTCATTTAATTATAGCACAGAAGCAGAATATACTTATTTATAGCTTATCGATTTAAACTACATGTATAGAGACGCACCTTCCCATTCAATTAACTTCAACACTACAAATGAAAATCAAACGTCGAATTACAAACAGCAGCTGTATTTTTACAAATCAGAACCTCAAGATAATGCGCTGACTAGACTTAACTGCGGGGAAAGAACGCTGCTGACGGTACACATAACGGATTTTGCTGGGTAACTTGTCTTTTCTAAACAAAGAGAGTAGATTTCAACCCGCGCGTCACACCCAGTGAACGTTTTAACAAATATGTGTATTTCACTACCTTTTGCAGGAACTCACCAATGGACCGCGCACAGATGGATGAACAAGTAAGTATTATGCACAGTTAATACATGTACATGTTCAATAATTTCTATGTAATCGAAGGAATGTTAAAAGTTATGTTCAGTTAAAGATGCCTCCTGTATGTACATACACCATGTACCGAGTTCACTCTGCCACAAAACTTTGTTGCACAATCGCGATTCACAGAAAAAGCAACTTATTTCTTTGCTATTCATTGTTGTTCGTAATATGCTCTCACTTAATTTCTGTGCTGTTCATTGTTGTTTGTAACATCCTCTCACTTAAATCCCCAGCTCAAATCTCCTCCACGGTAAGGATCACTTTCCATGGCGTCTTTCCCCGAAACAAATGCTACACACCAGAAGCACTAACTTGACTTGTAATTACCTTAACGTACAATAATTTTATTACAATCTACCATGCAGACTCGGCCACTGATCCCAATCATTATAAAACTGATGAGTGTATTTGCAAACTACATACAACAAATTTCATTGTCTATTTACTGATTGCAAATACCATGTACTCAGCATTGAAACTTAACACAATGTTGTCATTTTTGTGTAATCTAATTCTAACGAGCTCTTACGTTTATGAGGGAAAATAAAGTTTTTTGGTTACTATGCCAAGGTAAACACTCGAATTGCATTTCTACGGCAAGACTACTAAGATGTATAAATATACGAGCACCAAAATTACGATAATGTAGGTATCTAAATTTCCCAGTCTCTAAAAAATCAGAAAAGGAAATGATATTTATTATAACAATTATTATTGAGTCAAGATACCCTTGTTTTGGGTAATTTTGTCACATCATTTTCATTGCAGCAATCGGCAAACAATGCTAGTGGGTGAGTAAATATCAGTTCTATTGTATAACCTGCATTTGAACAGCTTTCAACAAGCATTATGTTACGAGCTTTTTACCTGTCCCCTTTCACCATTCGAACGCTCACTCAGCTTAGTATTTGCTTCGGACAAAACATACCCAAGTGATATTTGAGTTTAACGGCCATTTAAACAATAAAGTAAAGTACCACCAGTAATTATTACTGTTGGCACTTTTCATAAATGTTTTCACAGAAATATAACACTGCCGGATAATAACTGTCAAACTCAAATACAATCAGGTCGTAAATATACATTTATATCACGTAAAAATGTACTTACAATTTATCATTCTGCATTATGTTCCCCTAGGTCCAACAGAGATCTCATGCCCATGTTGGAAATGATGTCTCAGTATCAAATGAGTAATCTGGAGGTGAAGAAGATATTTTTGTTGCTTAAAATACTTTATATTCTCTAATGGTATCAATAAATAAATTTTTGTGTTTTGGCTAGTTCTTTAAGCACCCATTCATTATACATGACTTGAATTGTAACAGCAGGGGAGCAGGGATAGCACTATGGTGAGAGCACTCGCCTCTCAGCAATGTGGTCCGGGTTCGATTATGGCCGGTTGCCATATGTGGGTTGAGTTTGTTGTTGGTTGTTGCCTTGCTCCGAGGGGTTTTCTCCAGGTTCTCCAGTTTTCCTCCCTCAACAAAAACCAACATCTCCAAATTCCAATTCGACCAGGATAGAAGACCCACATGAAAACCAGCTAAGGCTGATGTGGCTCCTCTCTAAATTTTGTAATTTATTTATTTATGACTGTAGTAATGAATGTCCAACTGAGTCTGTCGATTTCTTTCTTGTCTATTAGATACCCATAAACTCATGCTTTAATTATGTGCACTTAGATGGGTGGTTCTCATAACACATTGCTGTTTCTTCTGCTTTGTTAAACAATATCAGCAATATATCTAGTTAGAAACAGAAGCACCAATCACCCGACTCAGTACTGCCATGCTAACTTCCAGAACCATTCTATGTGCCTTACTCAAATTATTTCATTGCTGTTGACATTTTTGTTTTTGCGAATACCCAACCCAATAAACAAACTAAAAGTGACAAAGAAAATAAGTCACCTACATGTATTTATACATGATTTAAATAGGAGAAAAATAAACCATAGAATCATAGGTGTTCTGTTGTTTTTGCTGTTGCTGTTTTTTATCACTTCTGTATGCTTTACTTGTACAAATATTACTACTAGTAGTCTGTGTACATCTGCCACCTCCACTAAAAAAGAGTCTTCCACAATTATTTGCCATAAATTTAAATAGGGTGACAGGCCTAACGTGACTCCAGGCATACCAGACATTTTTTTTTTTTCACATTTGCTGTTTAAAATAAATTTCGGTTGTCTGACCTATTTAGCTTCATACTTGTCCTTTCAGGACAATAATACTGTGTTAGTAGAAATCTGAATGAGTTGTTGGTTAAGTCAGCCCTTCAACTGTGGTCCAGCAAGTGTTTAGAGATCATATGTCTGCAAGGTTTCTGCTGTTATACTAACCATAATGTAGCATCTAATACCTACGTAATTTGCCATATGTTTTCCTGCAATGGTAATTATATTTTAGCTCATTTCTCTTGCAAGTACTGTTTAACATTCTCTAAATGTGTGCTCTGAGCGGAAAAGGTCTAATAATTGGTGAAGATGTTAAGTACTAGAATTCTATACCATTTCCTGACTGCTTCAAAAACTGTTAGAAGATGTTCTTGGTGTCTACAGAATTTGGACAAATTGATGATCGATTGATTAAGGGGAGCAAGGATGGCGCAGTGGTGAAAGCACTTGCCTCCCATCCATGTGGCCTGGGTTCAGTTTTGGTTGGGTGCCATATGTGGGTTGAGTTTCTCCAGTTTTCTTCCCACTACAAAAACCAACATCTCCAAATTCCAATTTGACCAGGATAGAGGGCCCACATGAAAACCAGCTAAGGCTGATTTATTGTAGCTTCCTCTCTAAATATTGTAATTTATTTATTTAAGTATTTATTTATTTTGTTAATTTATTTATTTATTTATTTTGGTTATTTATTTATTTATTTATTGCTAAACCAATTAAAACACAGAAAAATGACTTAAGTCATCCTTAAGTCATAACAATTACTAATTAGAGATCTTTCCCTACAGTCTAGGAAAACTTAACGATAATTAGCAACACCATAGACATATATATCATTCTACCCAATGATTTTAGGGGATGGTGCAGACATACACAGGCTACTTTTGTATTAGTCAAAGCTATTTATCATCCACTGTTGAAGTTATAAAAGGAAATAGTAGTCAACAGGTTTTTACTGCAAAATAAAAACATGATAGGGCATGTGCAGGGAAAGGTTTACTGAAACATGATATAAGAACATGCAAATTTACTTGTACATGATTTACTCTTCCAATATTATGTCATTTCATGGAGCCAAGATAAAAATTTCCATTTGCAAAAAGTCTTATTTTAGGCCTAACCAAACTCTAGAGTGCAGCCATTCAACATCCTCTAAGCTTTTAATTTCTTAAATTACTAAATACACAATCTCATTCCACTGGCATTAATATTACAGGTTCTAAATGAACGTCATGAAGATGAACTAAGGTGAGCTTTCTTTGTAGTTGGTTGTGGATGATGTTGACTTCTCTACAATATCCTTAATAAATTTTCTACTTTGCAAGTACAACACATAACCTGCAATTGTTTCAGCCAAGTACATGTACCTTACACTCACTAATGGTTAACACTTATTTACTTGGTTCCAGTGTCAATTCACATAAAACATGGGTCTCTGCACCGCTTATTTTTTAATCTATACACAGAAACATAATCCATCCATAACTGAGAGCAGTTACCCTCTATGTCATCTGATGAGTTTCAGAAATCCAATTTCACTCACCAGCTGTCACGCACACAAGGAAGTGACTTCAGTTACACAAAAATTCATCAACTGAAGATGGAAAACAGTACAGTGAAACTCTGCTCTATGGACACCTGCTTAATACAGACACCCGCTTATGACAGATAGTTATCTTTGATCCGACAACTAAAAAGCTCAAATATTTTCTCTTACATTGGCCCACTTAATACGGACACCCGGATAATGCCAACACTTTATCATGACCCTTTGATGTCCATATTAATGGGGTTCCACTGTACTGTTATCTGTGTGCCCTTGAAGCCATGAATTGAAGTCTACAACCTTTAATTTAACCACAATAATAATTTATGAGGTGATGGATATCTGAGATGAAATCCATACAGGCTACATACTTGCATTTAGACTATCCACACAACTAAAGGTACCTTATCAAGAGAACTAAGTTTCTATTTTTCAAAGCACCTGATGGGTTCTTTTAATTTGTATTATATCAAGCACCATTGCTCAAGTCTTTATAGAGATGCTGAAAATCCGGCAATTTTTAGAATTGAAGTGGGTGTTATCATCAGATGCGCATATGGTGAGTAAACTGCTCATGAAATGGAATCGCTGTGACCCTACATGTTATTCAGATGTCATTTTGATTTGCAGTTAACTGATAGTCACATGTCCCCAAAACACTGTCTTGTCTTGTTTACTCCCAACCAGTACTTACAACATGATATGTGACATACCAATTTACATAACCATTGATGACTGAAACAATAAGCATATAAAGCAAACAAAGAAATTAAAGAACTTTTCTTCAATTTCATAATGCACTACATCTATGCCATACTTTTTTCTTCTGAAAAAGGATTTACATTTACTGGTAATAAAATGCCTTTTTTTTTTCTTAACAGGTTCCTAAGGAACTGTAAGCAATGTATAAAGTATAAAAAGATGATAAAAAGTTGGTTTCTAAAGTATAGCAGAAAGAAGGGATTAATTTGTGTTTTGTAATGAACAAACTCAAGAAGAAAGTATTCACTGAGAAACATATAATATTTTATTATATAAAACAGTCTAGTGCACTCTTTTATTAACTACTGACTGGCAGAATTGAGACTATTGTTCTCTTATGGAATTGTGTGTATACGAATACATATCCATGTACACATGCATGTACGTACCCTTTATACAAGAGTAAGAAGTGGCTGTATTTTTATATCCGTTAGTATATATTTTAATTAGTACATATACATTATTTTGCATTTTTGAAAAAGCAATTTTAAAAACAAGTTATATTAAATACTGTAAGTGACATATCTAACTTCAACGGGGATATCCCATATGTGGATTACTTCAATTTTCAGCTACATGTATTTGTAAACATGTATACAATACCTTGAATAGAAATAATAAGCCGTCTCCAAGTAATCAGCGGGCATCCAACCTACCAACATTTTATATCTGAAAAACAATTGAAATGACATAATAAGGTTGTAATAGCTGCATTAAATAACAGTTCAGAAGAAACAAAGTATCTTTAGTGTTATATTGATGAGTGCATGTCCAAAATATATATAAAATATATACATGTCGATACAGAAAGAGTATATATATACATCTATACAGAAAGAATAACATTGAAGCAATCTGGATACCTATAGCACCACATATATTGTGTCTGTGACAAAAACCATACCCTACCTGAAAAAGCACCCCCCCCCCCCTGAAAGTAACATCAAAAATTGTGGCTGACAATAAATCCCAAAAGTAGTGACCCCTCCGAAAATAGCGAGCCCAACACCCCCCTCCCCCCCAAAGAAAATGGTGAGACCAAAGTTGCATAGTAAATATATTTATTTTTACTGTACAATCACTTTATTTAAGGCAGGAGGGTATTGCTTATGCCGCGAAGCACGAAATGTCAATTCATGCTTTCTCAGTTCATGTTGCGCCCTGTTAAAAGACAAACCATAGAATTTTCATCAAGTAATAGGCATGTACTAACAGGAACTTTAAATTCAAATTGACAACTCTGTATCATTTCAACAGGTGCATATTACCCAAGTACAGTAGACAGTTTAGAAAGAAAACCTCTAGATTTCAAGAAAATCCACTGTGAGTAAAAACAGCAATGACGTCATTACATTGCTATCGTAACTCTGATCTCGATAAAGTACACCGCACCAGAAACTTTGGTCTATCCCTAGCAAAAACGTGGATATCAATCTCCTGTATTATGTTTTAGTGGGGTGTGATTTATATTTAAAGTTGGAAGGTGTTACTTGAAAAATCCAATTGAGCCACCTTAAAAGCTAGGAATGTTGCTTCAAATTTCAATTGAAAACTCGACCAACGTACTGATATGAACTGAAACATTGTTAATTAAAGCATACTAACATAGTAGTGCGTTATGAAGTAGAAACAATTTACGGTATCTGACTAGCTTTCCTGCCGACCACTGACAACACGATCCAGGCATGAAAAGCCCACCCATGTGGCAGCAACATAGCCATAAACTGGAAAAAGAGCTCAGTCGTACCAACTTCTTACAACATTTTTTACTCCTCGAAAGTAACAACCCCTCGAAAATAACGAACTGCTGAAAGTAACAAGCCCAAAAAGCTGCTGATTCCAAAAGTAATGAGGGCCGAGTTCCATGCCACGTGTTGGACAC